TTCGGCGATGCCTGCAAATTACCGTAAACTGCCGTTAACCTGAACTTCCACGACAATCTACAGTGCCGCATATTGACGAAAATCACACTTTTCATGCAGTGCAGCTTGGCTAGAGTACCCAAAACTGGCAAACACTCAGGCGTCGAGGTAGTGACAGCCCGCTGCTCAAATACTCCTCCGGTAATGATCCAACAAGCCGCAGGTGTGCAGGGAGGCCCAACGAGGAACAGGGTACCACCTGGTTGTGGAGAGAGAAAAACACAACAGCAATCCACACAAACTGGATTCCTAACAAGCATGATTAAACAGCTACTTTTGGCTCTTCAAATATAAAAAATCTGGCAATTTAGAGGAAGACCAAAATCATATTCCTTCAGTCAATTTCAGTCGATTAATTGTTTTAGTTTATATCACAATTTAAGCACCATATAAATTAATAAAATACATAAAATGTTTCCATCCTGAGAGAAACTAACAAAAAAAATAAGATGACAAGAAACAAAGCCTCTAAAAACTCTGATTAATCCCTGCCATTTAGTCCAAATAGAAATAAAAAGCAATGAGATGCATGAGCAAGGGTAGCATACTGAATCGAGTATGCTACCCTTGAAAGACATGATAATAATATAGTTTAGTTACAGGGGAATGGGGCATAAGGCATCTGCTTTCAAATCTTGCTAGATCTCCAGCATTACCAACCTTAGCTATACAACACAGCCTGAGTTACAATATATCACGGCAGCCACTATAAAACTTTATTGTGTTGTGGGATGGAGATTTCAAAGATTGCCACATAAAGTGTTTTTTATTGCAGAATATGGTTAGGATAAGATAACAAATGTATTTTTAGTGTTTCAGTAAATTGGGGTGGGGCAGTGGTAAAACACGACTTGCACATAAGACTCAACAATATGAAAAGAAATGTACCCTTTTGATTGTAAAAACAGATGAGCAACATTTTTAACTATATGAATTTAAAAAATAATTGTGAAAATATATTTTTGACAGAACTATGTAAATAAAGCTCAATTTTATGGTATTTTGTAACAGTTGGAAAAGCAACAGTATCTTTTCTTCGTCATCCCACCCCTGCAGCCTCCCCATTTTCTCCTTATTTCTGCAGGGATATCTGTTCTCGCAACGTGTAGTGGAGCAGGGCTGCTGAGTATAGCAGCGCATAGTCCTAGGAGCTGCTATAGACAGGGACACTCATCAGTAGTTGATGTAAATCAGGTTTTTTAAAATATACTGTAAAAAGTAAAGAATATATAAACATTAAAAGCAAGAATCTTCAAATCTATAAAGAATTACAATGACCTGCCCTGTGCTATGTCACTTAAGTAGGAGGATGAGAGGTGTGCTCTAAAACTGAGAGGCAAGCTCCTCCCAAATTAAGCTTTTATTTATATATATGTATATATAAGTGTATTCTTTACTGAACATAGTAGAATTTACTTGTGTACCAGCAGCAAAATGTTTCTCTTCACATTGGTTCTTGGGGTGGTGTTTCTCCCAAAAGGCAAGTTCTTGATATTTTGAGGATTTAATATTCAGATTTTTCATTACTTAGTGTGTTTTGACTAGGATTTGCTTTTCCTTGCTCACCTATATTATATATTTGTTGCTAAGCTTTGGCTTTACTTTTTACACTAAATCTTGTGCTGAAGTGAAAGACTTTGTTAGATTGCACCTTAACATGAATATATATAAAGCAGTAGCACTGTTTATGTCCTTCTTATTTGAAATGTAAAGTTTTGTTATTTGTTTTAATCAGCTGATACTTTGGACTGTCATCAGTGTGTTGAATCTGGGACTTGCACTGAGGAAACAGTTACATGTTCCAAACCAAATGATCAGTGTTCAGCAATGACAATAAGATACAGTTCAGGTATGTGTCTGTTTAGTTTCTAGTTTGATTTGTCTTCTATTTGGCATTGCCTTACAATGTTTATTGTCCATAGGTGGTACGGTTGAAGAACAAAAGTCCAAAACTTGCGGTGATCCTGAGCTTTGTGCTGAGCAACTTGGAGAGTATTCCATCAACAATGGATATTTAAGGCAAGCAGTAAAGGTCACATGCTGCAATACAGACCTCTGCAACAAACAATATCCTGGTAGGGTATTATCTGTCGATTATTTTCTTCTTTTTTTTTTTTTTTTTTTTTGCAGTGCTGTAAATACATATAGCTCACATTGAAGTTCTTGAAATGTAGTAGATTCTAAGGAGCTATGTGACGAATGATATTAAGCATTCTCATTTTGCTAGGTTTTTTGAATATATTTTCGTTAAAGAATGAAGTAGATGTCAAATGAACATAAAGATAAACTATCTTTGAATCTTAGAAATCAACACCTCTAACAATGGCAAAAAGTGCTACTTCTGTGATGGGGAAAGTTGCAATAAAACACTTTATTGTAAAGGAAATGAAAACTTCTGCTTCAACGAAACGTGTAAGAGGCAAAATGTTTGTGCATCCTAATTATCATTCGAAGAATCTTAAAAACAGCTCCAAGTAAGTAACATTCATGATATATTTATTTTAATTTTCGCAGGGACTGAGGGTGGACAAACCAAGATACATGGGGGTTGTATTTCCGACATACTCTGCTTACATCCTTATCAATCAAGCTCAGTTGTAAAACAGCTGAAAAAGTCCTATGGAAATTATATCTGCTGCCAGGGTAACTATTGCAATGGTGCCAGTAGTGCAAGCCCCGCCCTGCTGCTCTTGTTGGTGCCACTACTTTTTTCTGCTGTGGTTTAGCCACTAGGAGGAATTTCATTTATCCTCGAATCCATTCTTCTCTCTTTAGCTGATTTTTTTGACACTTGAAGAAATGTTAGCAAGGTGTAAGAAAATATTTTTTTTTGTCGTTTTTTTGTTTGTTTGTTTGTTTGTTTAATCATAAAATTAAATTTCTTTATGAATTCAAGAAGAAAAAAGACCTCTTCCAAATTAAATGATTTCAGTTGAAATTATAAATAGGACTTGATGTTATTACAAATCTTGAATAAGCATTTTATTTTTATTTTAATTAAATAGTTTAATTTTCAGCCAATTAAAATGTACTTATAATAGATTAAATGGATTAATGTAAAAAAAAAAAAACACTCAAACTTACAAAGGCTAAATCTTAAATCTATTTTAAAAATTTTAAATAATTTGTGTCCTATTAAGTTAGTATTATTTAATTTGCCTTTTTTGATTAATAAAGTATTTTTGAATTTAATTTAATTGAAATAACACTCAGTCTTCAGGGATTACAATAGGCAATGTTTTTCAGAACAATTTTCAATTTAGTTCTAAAACCAAAAAATGTTTTGTTTTTTGTTTTTACAATAAAGATGATGATTAAAACTCATATGATGCCTTCTACTGAATAATAGAAACTGTGTTGTTTGTTGGAGACACACACTCACACACAACTAGAGCGCACCACACATGCGCATCATACCATGCAGGTGGGATATGAAGTGTCTCAGGGGTAGACAGTCTTGTTTACTGTTAAAGGTGCAACTTAAACAGTACTCAAAATAAATAAAGCATGTCCACACTGAAGTGTTTAAAGGTACAAAAATGAATATGTGACTAAAAAAGTAAATAAATTTAACAGGAAACCTCTCGATATACTTTTAAATGTCCCATTTAATATTCAAATGCACTATTTACTTAATAAATCATTAAAAGTTAGATTTATTATTAAATTATAAAATGTAAATTATGGCGCATTTTGTAGCACTTTTGCCTTTCAGCAAAGTTCTGGTTTCAACTCTCCGACAGGAATCTTTGCGCCTGAAGTTGGAATGTTTTCTGTCTGTTTGTAGTTTCTCTTTGGTCCGAACGAGCAAAAATTGATGGAAAAGACCACATGATTTAAGTTCAAACAATGTCTACATTTGATTGAAAAGTTTAAGTGAAAAAGCTGTAATTTTCAGATTTTTTTTAAAAAGACCTTGAAAATTGGGTTAACAGCGTCAATTATTGGACTAAAGTGGGACAAATTCAGACCGATCAAACACAGCCCAATTTCAACAGCTATTTCTTGGCTAAATCATGACTGTGAGAGACAGACATGATTTCGCCTAAAAAACAACATCTAAATGACGAAAAAGGTGAGCTTCAGTGACTGTCTGAAACCATAGCTCACCACAGATATACACCTGACAGTGAGCAGGCGCAGAGCATGGCAGAAAATGGATGGATGATTCACAATGCAAATCCACAAAGTAAATAAAACATAGTTTGGCAAAATAATGTGTCATTAAATGACTTGCTTAATCAGAAACGTATACCTTTTGTTTATTGTTCTTAACCTTCTGGGATTTAGCTAGTAAGCAGACATAAGGTATTGATCTTAAATGATTCTTTAGTCAGATTTTGGTTTTAAAATGTGATGCGAATATGAGGCTCAAATAAACATTAAAATTTTATTTCTGTTAACCCTTAGTGAAAGAAAGCTAGTTTGCTTCATAAAATAGAGTTTAAAACATGTCAGCATGGTGTATAATTCAGCTCAATTCAGTAGCTTTTCCTGCACAACAGTGAACACATGCAATGATCAAAAATCATCGAAGAACAAAAAAGCCAAATTATTCGCTAGAAGCTCTTTCCAGCCCTTTCCTTCCGTTTTCCAGACCTCTAACCTTTGCTGATCTCTGTTTTGGAAAAGGCTGAGTTCCAGTGTTCAGCAGCTTATGATGTCACTACACAGCAGGGAGTTTCCTTTAGCTGCAGGTGCTTCACTCCAGTTGTCTCTTCAGGCATATGAAAGTTTCCAAAACTCAGAGATAAATGTTATTAAGAAGTTAGCACCCAGTTCAACTTAGCCTTTGATCAGTCTGCAGATTCGGTTCCTTGGCATGTTGATCTCCATGATGGCACTTCTTTGATGTGACTGCCCCAAGATCAGCGCTGAAAGAGTTTATTTTTCTGTGTATGTTGGGGCTCAAATTGGTGGAATTCTCTTTTAAAAAAATGAAGACACTAGAGACGATTCTCTTCATTTGTCCAAAACCAGACAGGGGACAAAAAGGTTTATTGACAAGTCCAATTCATCATGCTGTCCAAAAATACACAGAAACAGATCTCATCATCGTCACAAGTCTCAAGCTTTTTCCCCAAACCCTCCTCCCCCCTAAGCCGTGTTTATCTTCTCTGTAACATTGTGTGAATGTCTGAGCACGACCAATGCTATGTGGAAATCTAACTGGAATGTTTATGTGGTGTTTTGGCATGATAGCCTAAAAAGGAAAAATATGTTATTGCCAAGATTTCCTGGCTCATAAACTGTTATTTCCAGCGTACATGATCTTCTGAGCATTTTACTACTGAACCACAAATAAGACTGAAGTATCATTACTTCTGCAGATATACCTTGTAATAAAGCAGCATAGGTATCCCTACTGATTTTTGAAATACCATTTGACTTCAGCATTATCAGCATTTAGTCATTCAGTTCTATTAACTATTTATGTATCTAATTTGGATAAATCATGTGGCAATATCAGCAATGTAAGAGATAATTAAAATTTATGGATTAAACTAAAAGGCCAAAGTGTTCTCTAATAGCCCTGTGATGGACTGGGGGCCTGTCCGGGATGCACCCCGCCTCTCGCCCATTGACAGCTAGAGATGGGCACCAGCAGCCCTCGCCACCCCACTTGGGATTAAGCGTGTTAGAATTGGATGGATGGATGGATGGATGGATGGATGGATGGATGGATGGATGGATGGATGTTCTCTAATATTCTCCTTCATATTTTTCCCATTCTTATATTTCATTATTTAAGCCCTCTTCTCTTTTTTTGAGTTTCTATTTTTAAAGCTGCTCTTTTTCGGCCTTTCTCCACTGTTATGGACCTCTTCACGTGTCTGTCCCCTTGTGAAGAGAGAGTAAAAATCAGACATTAGCCTTTCACACCCTTCAAGAATTCCCCTGGAAATGCTCTCTATGGGACCTTCTCTCTGATAACTCAGACTCCCATTCTGTGAGATCTCCTGGATCTTGTCCAGCAGTTCATGGACCTGCTCCCTGTCCTCCATTTTCTTGTTGTTGAACACATGGTACTTGCCGCTGCAGTTGCTCAGTAGCTTCTGAAGATTGGTGTCCTCTCTGATGAACTGAGCCATGTCAGTTTCTTCCAGCTTGTCTCCGTAGGTAAACAGCAGCATGGTATGCTTGGAGACATCCGGACTCAGCATCTCTTGCAGCTTCTCCATACTTTCCTCCTCCTCTCTGCTTAACATCCCCAGCTGAATGGTGAGCAGGAAGACGTGAGGACCAGGCGAGCTCAGCTTGACAGCCTTGTTCAGTTGTTTTTTCACCTGCTTTGCAGAAAGCTGACTACTGAAGAGTCCAGGGGTGTCCACCACAGACACTCTACGACCTTCAACAATGCCTTCTACCTTCTTAGATTTCAGAGTCAGAGGGGTCCAGATTAACCGGCATTCAAACTCCTTCTTTCCCAGGATGGTGTTTCCTGCCGAGCTCTTCCCAACTCTCTCCTGACCCACCAGCACCACTCTGAGGTCTGAGCCTGGAAAATACAGATTATATCAGGGGAGGGTGGTAGATAAGATATCCTTTATCCCAGTGTTTGTAAATCCTGCTCCTATTTAGACTTTATCCTGCAGGTCGTATACATGTAGGAGCTTGAACTTCAGGTTAGTGAAGTTAAATAAAAGAAATTTGAAGCTAAAGAAAGCTGCAAACAACTGAAACATGCAAAACAGAGACTTGAGAACGCATCAATGTAAAGCATCAATGTTTTGGCACATGGAGAACGGGCTTTACTTATGTTCTGATTGTAGCTAACAGAGAGGTTAAATGTTGATACTAGTGTGTACAGAACAACCCTTTATGCATGTTTAGATTTTTTGTACATTTATTCATTCGATTAAATTAAATGTGGAACATATAGGGGAAAAAAATAGTTTCTACTTTAGTCCTGATTTTTTCTTAAGGATTTTGGCAGGAAATACAAGTGAAGCTACATGTTAAGGAAACACTAAATCATATTTAATACACTTAATTTTTCCTGCACTACAAAGGAAACCTTTTTACAAAAGTCTAAAAAATAAACAGAATCAATAAATAACAGTTCATTACTTACAACATTACTTGATGTTTTTAAAGAGAAAGCAATTAGTATTAACAATTAAAACAAATATAACCAATTAGAAAATGTGGATTATGGTAATGCTTTAGCATAACAGAAGAAACAACATTTCACAGTTTCACATCAATAAATTTAGTTGTTTTCAAATTATGAGCCAATATTTTAATTGGTAAAGAAGCCATGAGAATCATTGAATGATACATTCGACTTTTTTCACGGCCTCTGATATAGCTTCAAATAAATCTTCCACTCCTTTCCCCGCTCCTGCTCCCATTGGCCGACCCTGGAAGCGTCCAATAGCAGCTTCCTGTACACCTGCCCGGGTTAATGGGTTCTCTTCCTCTGCTCGTCTTCTTGCTTCCTCAAATCCCATACCTGGATTTTCTGCCAGAAGCCGCTGAGTTTCTTCTTTTATTGGTTTCTCTGCTTCTTCAAACATTTCATTGCTGAAACACCGTCCATCATTTCTCTGAACCATTGTGTTAATTTTTGACAGTAGCTGCTTTACTTGCTCTGGATTTCCATCCCTGTTGTTAAGGACATGGTATCCTCCCAGGCACTGATTGACAAACCTCATCAGAGCTGGATTTCCCTCTATTATTTCTTCTATGGGACTTTCTTCTGCCTCCAGATCATCTCCACGGGTGAACAAAGCCATTGTGAAACGTGTTGCTTGGTCTCCAAACATCTGCTGAATGATATTTACAGTTTCCTGTTCTTCTTTGGTGAATCTCCCTGGCTGGATCACGACCATGAATACATGAGGACCAGGAGAAGCTAATGACATGCATCTAGTAATCTCTGTTTTCACCCCCTGTTCAGTTTTACTGGTATCAAAAAGGCCTGGAGTATCAATTACAGCCAGAGTTTGAGCACCAAACTGTCCTACTTCCTTCTGACACTCTGTTGTCAGTGAAGAAGTTGACAGCTTCGACTTGAATACTTTTTTTCCTAAGAGAGTGTTTCCTGTTGCACTCTTCCCAACTCCAGTTTTTCCAACAAGTACAATCCGAAGATGTGGCTCCTCTGAACCTGTTGGGAAATGTCAGAAATGTCTTATTTTTTTATTCTCAAGCTCTGGATCAATTTTACATTGATTTTTTTTACATTACATAACGATTTCCAATCCAGTCCATTGGTAGTAATCTATCTGTCTGTCTGTCTGTCTGTCTGTCTGTCTGTCTGTCTGTCTGTCTGTCTGTCTGTCTGTCTCTGAAGTGGTACATATACCTCAGCCTAACCACTAAAGGCTGATATATACTCGGAAACAAGGACGTCAGCGTGTGTGTCGCAGTAAATGCAAATGTGCATCCACCCCGCCGCAGAGAGGAGTCCTCTGATTGGTCAGATCTACAACCACTCTACACTATGCGTATTTCCTGTTACCTTACCGGCTTGTTTTGTTTGTCTGACCGCTATTGTGGATCCCCGCTCTTTTTGGCCCTCATGTCCCTCCGTTGTCGCCTCGGCCGTATCTAGACCCACAGCTAGTTCCTGACTGGTCCTCTGGCGTTGTGGCGTGGAATAACAAGCGCAGACCACGCTTCAATGTTGAGCATAAATCAAAGACGTCTGTGACAAGCTCACTGTGACACACTGCTGCAGGAGTATAACCAGGCCTTATGCCTTTGCCTTGATGAAGTTTAGCAAAGTTGAAGTAGAGTTTTTTTCTTTTCTAAAGAAATTGTGATACAAATAAGCAGTCTAATTTTAAAAAGAAATGACGATATTTTTCAAATGTTTTCTGGTTGTGTGTATATGCTCTTCCTAATGGTTTTATTTCCCATTTAAATGATTCTATGTAGATCCAAAACAAAGGTAAAAAAAAAACAGTTCACCGTACTTTGTTTCCGAGACGTTTCTCTGCAGTCCAGGAAGCTTTTTCAATTCAAACTTTCAGAAACAGCCTAGAGTTCCAGGCTTTGTACAGCAGCCCAACAAAGCCTTTAAAAACATGCAAATTGAAATGATCGAACAGGTTCACCCCTTTGGAATGGCGGTCCGGCCCATACCTGTCTATGTCCTGTCTAGAATTCAGATTGTTAAAAAGACAAAACAATTGGTCCTCGTGAGAAGAATGTTTCTTCTTGGGGTCAGGGTTATGTTTTGGACCAAGGTGTAAATTAAGTTTAGGTTAGGTTTAGGGTCAGGTGTGAGTTGGTAATGGTTAGGCTTAGGTTTGGGGTTAGGCCATATAAATTAATGCAAGATATCACAATATCCACATAGATATTGATATTTGAGTGGCTGTATGTGTTGCCATTATTTTTCTTACCTTGGGGACATTTTCCCGAGAATGCAGTACATTTTGAGGACTTATCGGTACTTGTGGGGACCAACAAGTGGTCACCATTAGAAAGGAAAGGTTATCTTTGGGTGAGGGTTTAAGTTCATTACTAATGAACTGAGTTTAGGTTAGGTTCACATAAGGGTCTTGGTTAGGCCATAGAAGTGAGTGGGAAATGAATGGAAATTAATAGAAAGTCCCCAAAAGGATAGAATGTCACAAAATCTGTGTGTCTGTGTGGGGCCAAATGCCTGGACCCCACATTGGGAATTGTTGTTTTTGGGTCAGGGGTCCCAATTAGGAATAAGGCGTGAATAATTTAACTAATGATAATTAATTTGTTTTACCCTTGATTTTATTGACCTATCAATTAACTACAACTTCCAGTTTTAGGTATTTAATAAATTCATAATCTTCTGGTAAACTTGCAAAACATCTGGAAACTGTTCTGGGAATCCCGGCTTCTGCAAGCCTGAGGCATTTCCATTTTACCGTCACTTAATGATTCATCGCTAAATCGTCACAAGCATGAAGCTGTTCATCATTTAGGAGGTAAAAAAAACTTTACATGAAAATGAGGTCATAAAAAGTTCCATCCGGTTTTTCAGGTTCCGATCATGCATTTTTTCTTTAAATGTGTTCTGGGAAAACCATATAAAGTAAGCCAAAAAAAAATAAAAAAAACATTCCCAGCATTATCTTCATGAACTGAATAAATAAATTACTTTCAAATGCTGCAAAACAATAAAACTAAAAGCCAAAAACCCTGGTTTCTGTTTAGGATGGCTACAAACAGGGTAAACATGAAGTCTGACATGTTTGAAACAGGACTTATGATGAGTACTGAAATAATCTTTTCACGTTAAGCATGTTGTGCCTTAACTCCTCTGCAAATAATGCAAATAATGCAAATAATGAACCCTCACACCAGAAACACCCAAACTAGTCAGTTCCTCATCAGATATTCTGTTGTTTTTTTGTTTTTTAGGAGCCTGCTCTGAGGATCCCTGATTCAAACATTAGAAGTATAAGATTTAATTTAAGGAAAACTGTTCATGACTAAAATTATGACATTTTGAGGAACAAACATATAACTCAAAAGATAACTAAATTAACGTTAGAAAATTTAAGCTCTACTTACTAGCCATCTTTGTCTTTGCAACTTGTAGATAATTGTGATCTCTTTATCAGTGATGGTGATTTAAGGAGAGAGCTGCACTTACACACCTCCCCTTAGAGAGGTTACATGTCTAAAGAGCAATGCCAAGCCAGGTTTTTTGGTTTTGTGTTTTTTTTTTTGGATGATGACATAACATGCAAAAATGTCCTTTAGTTTATTTATGGTAACCACTTTGTTTGACAGCTGCATTCCTCCACCATCCTCAGGAATTCAGCTTTAAATTTACTTCCTCTCCAACTAAGTGGAAGGATTTTTCTTGTGGTAGATTAAATATGGGGTTAAAATTTTAAATATTAATATGTAAACTACCTCTAATCTAGATTAAAGAATCAAAAAAGGCTGCAGAAAAGTAATGAACCGGTTACCTAAACTGGGAACTGGGAACGTAAAACGTGGTAATGGCATCCTCAGGATTTAGAGGTGTCATAGATGCATGAATAACGATAGTTCAGTGGGTGAAATGGACGTACAGAGAAGTTCAAACCCCATCAACACCTCCTTTCTCTATAAATCTCACTATTCTAAACTTCCACCATAAAACAAGTGAATCCAAACAAAATCCTGCATGATTTTTAAATTCCCCACGCACGTTTCTTTTTTGTTATAAAAAGTAGGACATGTCCGGGAAAAAGAGGACATCTGTTCCCCCTACCATATCAACAATCTGATGTTTCAGTGAGTGAGTGCTTGTTGCTATGATGCGTCTTTGCTCAGCAGCTTGGCTCGTTGTAAACCAACCAATCAGAGCACAGCTCATCTAAATATTCATGATCAAACCATAAAAGGAAGGAAACCTGTCGTTTCATTCTAGGGCTTTTAACCAGGCTGCATTAGGGCTCATAGAACAGCTAATATGCCATTTTCAGCCCAACCAATGTTACACACCCTATTAGAGACCTGAAGGACCAGATACCCTATAGAATCATTCTATCACCCTATTAGAGACCTGAAGGACCAGATACCCTATAGAATCATTCTATCACCCTATTAGAGACCTGAAGGACCAGATACCCTATAGAATCATTCTATCACCCTATTAGAGACCTGAAGGACCAGATACCCTATAGAATCATTCTATCACCCTATTAGAGACCTGAAGGAGCAGATACCCTATAGAATCATTCTATCACCCTATTAGAGACCCGAAGGACCAGATACCCTATAGAATCATTCTATCACCCTATTAGAGACCTGAAGGACCAGATACCCTATAGAATCATTCTATCACCCTATTAGAGACCTGAAGGACCAGATACCCTATAGAATCATTCTATCACCCTATTAGAGACCTGAAGGACCAGATACCCTAGAGAATCATTCTATCGCCCTATTAGAGACCTGAAGGACCAGATACCCTGTAGAATCATTCTATCACCCTATTAGAGACCTGAAGGACCAGATACCCTATAGAATCATTCTATCACCCTATTAGAGACCTGAAGGACCAGATACCCTATAGAATCATTCTATCACCCTATTAGAGACCTGAAGGATCAGATACCCTATAGAATCATTCTATCACCCTATTAGAGACCTGAAGGACCAGATACCCTATAGAATCATTCTATCACCCTATTAGAGACCTGAAGGACCAGATACCCGATAGAATCATTCTATCACCCTATTAGAGACCTGAAGGACCAGATACCCTATAGAATCATTCTATCACCCTATTAGAGACCTGAAGGACCAGATACCCTATAGAATCATTCTATCACCCTATTAGAGACCTGAAGGATCAGATACCCTATAGAATCATTCTATCACCCTATTAGAGACCTGAAGGACCAGATACCCTATAGAATCATTCTATCACCCTATTAGAGACCTGAAGGACCAGATGCCCTATAGAATCATTCTATCACCCTATTAGAGACCTGAAGGACCAGATACCCTATAGAATCATTCTATCACCCTATTAGAGACCTGAAGGACCAGATACCCTATAGAATCATTCTATCACCCTATTAGAGACCTGAAGGACCAGATACCCTATAGAATCATTCTATCACCCTATTAGAGACCTGAAGGACCAGATACCCTATAGAATCATTCTATCACCCTATTAGAGACCTGAAGGACCAGATACCCTATAGAATCATTCTATCACCCCTTTAAGTTTGTATATATATATCACGGCTCAATGTTAACCATTGCCCGATCGCCCGGGGCAAGTAGTTTTTATTGTCGGGAGAGTACAAATTTCATTGCATTTGCCCGCCGGGCAAGCTATCATATGGCAGTCTTCTGTACAGTGATGCAGGTCATGCATTAAAAAAATGTTCATTAAATTTTTTTCTCTCAGACATTGAAGAGGTGCATTTAAATGTTATAGAGCTAAACATGTTAGATTGGTGACCTGTTATTATTATTGTCTTGTTGCTGCATTTATTTTGTCAGGGAAAACTAATCCTGAGTCAGTTAAAAGTCAGGGAATTCTGAAATGATGTCAGACTGTGGAAACCCTGAATAAAATAACTATAATGATTCTCTAGAAAACTCACATTATATTAATAGTATTATCTCGTATAAACATACCGTGACTCTAAAATAAAAGTTATTCCTTTGTGACATTGACTTATGTCTTGTGATTTATCTTAAGTTTTTAACCTGTCAAGTTTTTTTTTTTTTGATTTTTAACATTACAATGTATATTTTTCCAAGCACACAACAGTTTAAAGCAAAGTTTAGTTTGAAAAGAATGTGCAGGAAGGATTGAAAAGCATGTTAACACGGTAATGTAGGCTTGAGTTCATTATCTGACGCATGCAGATACACAGCAGGAACCTGGAAACCTAAAAAATACTGAATTACAAAAAACATTTTAAAAACAAACATGTTTCATTGATATATATACAAAAATGAATATTAGGAACTATATTTATCAAACATTATATATATATATATAATAATATTATATATATATATAAGTGGTGTTAGATCCGTAGGTTGTTGTGTTTGTGTGTGAGAACAGTCCATATGTTGATGCATATTGTTGTGCGTGTGTACGATCCATATAGTTTGCATCAAGAGGCGTTGAGGAGCATAACAGCTGTGGGGAAGAAGCCGTTCCGTTCCTGGTGGTTCTTGTCCGTAGGCTTCTGTCGCTCCTCTCAGAGGGCAGGAATGAGAAGATATTTTTCTTTCGACTCATCCAAAATTTCCTACATTACTGGTCTGTTCTATAAAAGGATTCATTTCGGACTTTATCAGAGTTCAAACAGACTTTTGGATTCACTGAACCCGAAGCAGATACAACTAGGAGCCCTTTGGAAGCTGAGTTCACCATCTATTTTAGGACTCTAGCGTCCTCCTCTGGTTGGAATCAGGAAGTTCTCAAAGGAGCAATCTAGAGTCTATGAATAATCCTATGAAAGATGAGCTGACCAACAGAGATGATTGGGGATGGTTTTCTGTTATCTAATGGAAAATCAAGAATTACTCAACTTTTTCTTTGAGCTACCATAAAAAGCTGCATTCTTGTTTGAAAGGTATACAGGCCCAGTCAAACCCCCCTACCTCCCCCACCTGCCACTGTCCCCAAAGTGGGCATATTACTGCAGCCAACTATTACCTTGCTCTATTTAGCCCACAGCCCTTTTTGCTAAATTTCACTAACAGTGAAAGAGATATTGAGACACCAAATATTTTTAGTTCATGCTACTAGACAATGAGCCACAGAGAGCCACCAACATCAAATCAAATGTATTTGTATAGCCCTTTACAATAGCCAAATGGTACCCAAAGTGCTTTACAACAAAGCCATAAAAACAATACATAACGCAAATAAAAACAAACAAGATACAATTAAAAGTGCTGTAGTGGTGCAGGACATTAAAAGCCTTCCAGAGGTGCATAGAAAGGAGCACACAGAAAGATGACATCTAAGAGACAGTATTATAATCAGAATTAAAAGCTAAATTAACAAAGTGGGTTTTAAGCTTTTTTTAAAAAAAGGCTAAGGTCAGTAGTGGTGCGGATGTCAGGGGGTAGTTTGTTCCACAGTCTGGGAGCAGCGACGGCAAAAGAACCATCGCCCCACTCTTTGAGTCTTGACCTATTGACCTCTAGCAGAAGCTGACCCGAGGAGCGTAAAGCTCTGCCACAATTGCGGAAAGTTTAAATCTCAGACAAGTAAGAGGGGGCAAAGCCATGAATGGCGTTAAAAACAAACAGCAGAAGTTTAAAATCGATTCTAAAACGGACTGGAAGCCAGTGGAGTGACAACAGCACAGGAGCAATGTGTCATAATGAGTTATTTCTATATTTTTAACAAAATGTGCAATAATATCATCTACCTTAAAGGAATAGTACACCCAAAACATGATTAGCCTTCATTTTCTACTCACCCCCATGCTGAACAACACTCTGGAGTACTTTTTTGATATCTCAAATGCATCTGGAGATCTGGGAGGCTTCTTGCTGTCTGCTGACATTCAAATAATGGAGGTCTATGGCGCCCGAGACAGAAAGGTCCATAAAAGTCCACAAAAAACGTGTCAATATTCCTCCATACTGCTCGTCCAATGTATTCCAAGTGTCCTGAGTGGGTAGCGTCTATAATTTACTCGAAACGAAGTCATTTAGAATGTTTTTAGAGCATAAACAGTAGTGTATAGGATTTCCTGAAAGCGCGCACATGCGCGTTCACGACGCTACGGAAGCCGGCAGACCAAACCAGATGAAAGTGCGCATTCAGCTCGGCAAAGAACTCATGCTCTTCCTCAACACTGAAGTCCCCAGACATTTTTCTTTCGTTGTTTCTTTCTTTGCACAGGTAAACAGCACATTTCTTCTTCTACGCTTGCATTATCGGCAGAGCAGACGCTGAATGCGCACTTTCATCTGGTTTGGTCTGCCGCGGTTTCCGTAGCGACGTGAGCGCGCATTTAGGAAATCCTATACACTACTGTTTATGCTCTAAAAACATTCTAAATGACTTTGTTTCGAGTAAATTCTGGACGCTACCCACTCAGGACACTTGGAATACATTGGACGAGCAGTATGGAGGAATATTGACACGTTTTTGTGGACTTTTATGGACCTTTCTGCCTCGGGCGCCATAGACCT